TTTTGATTCACCAGTTAGTTCTGATGTATTTACCTACACATACAATTGAAACAACAGTTATATATAATAAAATAACAGATAGTTACCTTGACACCATCACATGAAATAAATCGACAATCAGCAGGTAGTTTGTCACCCATTCGAACAAGAATGATATCACCTGGAACAATTTCATCAGTAACAATTTGTTGTTCTCGTCCATCTCGACGAACAGTGGCTAATGTTGGTAATAGTTTTGAAAATGCTGCTACAATTTTAATTGATTTAAGTTGTTGATATACATTAAGAGCTGAATTGCAAGTAATGACAAGTAAAAGTACTACACCTAACGCTAAATTTGCTATTTGTGGATCAGGTTCACCAAATGGTTTATAAGCAAGAAAAGCGAGAATACCAGCCACCCAAAGTATAATATTGAATCCCATAAATAATTCTTTGAATAACAACCATATGTAAGATGGTTGTTTAGGTGGTTCAAGTTTATTATCACCATACTGAGCACGTGCATCAGGTACAGCACCACTTGTTAAACCAGTACGTGGATCAGTATGATAACGATTGTAAAGTTCTTGAAGTGGAATAATATGAACATCTTGCTCAAGACGAGATCTATCAACAGTAGCCCATAGATCAACAGTTGAATCATTTCGCATATGTGATAATTTGGTAGTAGGAGCTGTTGTATGCTCCGGGGGTCCGTCACTTTGTAAACCCCTATTGTCCATCTTACTTTCTTATCTAGAATGCATTCGTATTAAGTTCACTCATTAATATTATGAAATATGATTATAATAAAATTTATGTGTTCAAATTATACATTTCTTATTAACAAATGAATTCATGCAACACTATATGGAAAAAATGGAAGTATGTGCAACTTAAAATCACACCAAACCTTATTCAGTCAAAACTAAAAATTATTATATACAACATACAATAATAATAGTTACGCATGAATACTCTCATGAAAATGATTTAATTCGATGTATCGTTTAAAAAGGTATTCACCGGTTCTAACACAATCTATATGTTTTATCTATTATACAAAATACTAATTTTAATTAGCATCCATCTTTTCACGAGATTTCGATGGATTGAAACTTATAGAGAGATAAAATATTTATAAAAATGCGAGCTTGATGTTAACTGTAATTTTTGTTTTCTTATTTCTCTAGAAACTAACAAAAATCTAACTATAACTACAAGAAGAATTTATTTCTATTTATATTCGAAGGTGATAAGAATATTTACAAAATGTTCACTAATTACTAAATCTATGAAAAAAAAATTATATCAATACTTCTTACCAAAATTTAAGTTGCTTTAAATAAAGATAACTCCAACACGAGATGGAGATCAACAAGTTTGTGTATGAAATTAACGAATAAAAGAAATAAATAAGTAATTATATACGTATATCTATATCTTTTAATGATTAAAAAACAAAAATTTAGTCAAAAAATATTATTAGAATGACGTTATTTTTCTCACTCGATTAGCTATATAAAACAGAAAGACAAAAAATGTACCTAATTACAGTCATATGACGATAGCTCGATTATATTCATTTATATGAATAATTTTCTTATATCTATTCATTTATCAACTTACATTATTTGAGGACAAATTTTCAAAAAATCGATCTTTTTCCTCGAAATTTGTTTACACTTATTCACCGATGCACTTACATAGGTAAGTGCTTGTCATTAACATTAATAATATTCGAGGTGAATAATCAACGTTAACTTAAATAATAAGGTCTTATGATCACGGTATTTAACCGATAATCACCAATAGAGCAGGAAAAAAAAAGAAAAAAAAACAAACGTACGCATCGTTAAATCAGTCCTTGCGTGCAGAAAAAAATCGATGTATCTCCCCCTTATGATAGAAGACCCCCCTGTTTTAGAAGACCCTGGGTCTTTTTATATTGACGTCACATAATCAACGAAGTTGATTGAAATTTGTCACACAATTGTATCATTCTGACAGATCTTTTGCATCATAATCAAAATTTACTAAAAATTGATAACTACGCAAAACTTGTATGTAATATATAAAACTACAAACTACAATGAAAATTCATATTTCATACTTTGATAGCGATAATTAATAAAAATAAATGCTCTAATACATAGCATTAAAGGGTGTAGCTTTAATTCAATCATTACTTACAGTAATCTTCAGAAACAAGGCTCATAACTTTGCTAAATAATATCCGTTTGAATTCAATTTTAGTCTCCTGGATAGAATGATCAACGCGCTATATAATTATGTGAAATTAGTATAAGTTTTTTTTTTATTGTAATGAAAGAAATTTGTTTTTAAGCACTCTCATCAAAATATATGCATTAATAAATTTAGACAAATTACAAAATGAATGAAAACTTCTACTACGAATTTTTTTAAGCATGCTTTTTCCTCAAAAATGACTTAACTTCAAACGGATATCGTTTAGCAAAATTATCAGCTGTTTTCTGTATGTTAACGAAAGCGATGATCGAATTAAGGCCAGACACTCTGAATTCAAACCAATGATCAATCTCGACAACAATAACGTCAACTAAAATTTGTACTGATATATTAAACAGCTTGATATTACCTGGTCGTTTTTTTTTCTTCACTGTTTGTTTCTTTTTGTCGTCGAGTATTACCGATAATGATATGGTTGGTTAAACAATCGAACAAATATATAGATGAATAAAGGTGCGTTTATATAAAATTTTATGAGATTCAAATAGAAGCCTGATGATTGTATCAAATAATTATTTATTCTTAAAATATTTTGTAAACAATTTAAAAAAAAATAATCTGATATTAATTTCAAAACAATCTAAGAGATACTATGTATTTAACAGTTTAGAAACTAATAGGGTCAAATAAAAATTTGAAATGTACTAAATAGCTTTATGTTACCTGTTCGTTTTTTTTTTTAATGTTTATTTCTTTTTGTCGTTGCGTATTAACGATAATGATATGGTTGGTTAAACAAACGAATAAATATACAGGTGACGAAAACTGCTTGTACATCACATTTCATGTGATTCAAACACATCTCGAGTAATAACAGTTTATCTAACCAAAATTTTTCTTACTAGATGAATTATACATCCGTATATACATAAATTTCATTTCATATCAGTTGACAACCGTGTACTAGCAATATTGCACACAAAGTGATAACTAGATGTTATTTACGTCAAATATTTCAAATAGAAAAAAATGTGTTTTTCAAGATTCTGTTTGAAGATAAAATCATATAAATAAGAATGATATTTATGTAGTTTTAATAATCGAGTGTTTCGGCTTTCTTTCAGCAAAAATAATTTTTCAGGGCGGTGCATTCATAATTGAATATTAAAAAAAAATTTCTTGACGTCATTACCTTGAATGTAAAAGGGCATAGATGAAGGTAGATAAACATACATAATTCAAAGTGTTTTCTGATGTGTCGTAAATTCAATTGATTTTGATTGAGAAAAACAATATCTAGATTTATTGGTTAGAATGCTAATTTTTAAGACACTTAAACAAAAATATCATAATTCAAATGATTACGAGACATTGTTAAAGTACGAAAAATATAAGAAGCCAATATCATGTTTTAATACTATATGGTTTTTACTTAAAAACCTTTTCTATCAATGAATATTTTCAGAATCGATTGATTCACTTTACATTTCTATTCTATACCATAACTTATCTTTTGATTTCATTATTGACCTAAAATAGATTTCAACGACAAAATTAACTTATAAATACTGATCGAAATCGAATTTCTGCTAGATAAGGTATTTATTGATAAGATGCCAATTCATTCCTACAATCACAATAATCCTTATATTACGAAAGATAACAACAACATGAAATCATAACATACCGATCAAAGTAACTGAAAAATTTATTTCAATAAATCATATACAAACGCAGTATCTGTATAATGCTTTAGAAAATATTTTGGTACATTTTCATTATTTATACAGATAACGAACGATATTAAATGAAGGACATTTTATGTTTTAGGAATAAAAAAATAAATATTTTTCTTTTTCATTAATTTCACCTTGGATATTATGATTACTCATGTGTATTTATATATTTATCAAACTATTAATTTATTAGAAATATGGCGGTTGTGGAGCATAAGTATAATCGGGTATTGTTTGTTGTATTGGTAATCGTGCATAAGGTGTAGCTAAAGCTCCAAATAATTGTTTTGTATTATCATCAAAATATGCATAATGATCACGATCAAATTCATTATCTTGAAATACTTGTAGAATAAGATTATAAAATTCATCAAGTAAACGTTGTATTGCTCCGTCAAATGTTTCTTGTCTATATGTTGTCCATTCAAATGATCGCATATTATCTGATGAATGACGATGATTAAATTTTAATAATTTTGATATTGATGAACGTTCACGTTCTTGTCGTCGTTTATTATATAATTGTTCAATTTCACCTAATTTAAGAAGATATTGTTTTTTAGCTGTTTGAGATAATGTTTCAACATCCATATGTGATGCGACTTGCATGACTAACCATGCATTATTCATATAATGTGAAACAAGTACAATTTCAAGTAATTTTTGTTCAGTTGGATGTAGAGGTCCTGTATGATCACCTGATGATGGTGTCCATTTCATACAATCAGTAAATTTTCCATAACCAGTAAATGTAAATACAAGACCAACAAGATTAATACGATGTGTACCAAATAATGTTCGTATTAAATCACGATAAACATCTTCTTGTCCAGCAAGTGCATTAGGAATTTGATGTATAAGTATATCACCTGTTTTAATACGTAATTGTATATCATTTAAAATAAAATCAGTTTGACCATCAACAGAATATATAAGTAAACCAGCATGTATACGTGATGGACTATATTTATGTGACATAGGTAATATTCGTATTTGATCAATATCAAGTATAGCTTGATCAGTATTGAAATTATCATCTGGTGGAATCATTGTAAAAGTATGCCCTAATAATAATCAAATTTTACAAGATATTTCAATTTTTCTATCTCTTTTGCACTAGTATAGTTCTTTTCATATTTTGGATTAGAAATTATCTTATATACGTACCTTCTGTAAGAATATTCGAATACATTCTATATGTATTATTATCCGCAAGTGTATCTTCAAATAACTGTAAATTCTGCCATAAACGTAACAACATGATCGCGCTTTGTTTTTTGTTCAAGACAAAATAAGAATAATATACAGTGGAAATGAATAATATTTATATATATATATTTTTAAGTTTTCATGTTATTAATAATTTGTTTTTTCCTTTTCTCTTATTCACGCGTGACAATGATAACATATACACATAAATATGCAATTATTTGTCGATTTATATTCGGAAAAAAAACGTGACGAAGATACCCAACGAATATTACAAAAAAAGAAGAAGAAAAAGAAAAAAAATTAAAAGAAAAAGGCGATGAATACAGCAATAAAATACAACATAAAATGTATGACGTCAAGCAAAACAAAAACTGATCTTTCTTTTTTTTTTTAATTTAACTTTTATTTTATTCGAGACCATTACACTGCATCAATAAAATGAGATAAATAAATGCGTATGTATATATGTATATATGTGAGTGTGGAAAAAAAAGAAGATCACGTGTTATTGTTTTTATTTATTTTAAATGATAATAATAAAGAAGAATAAAATAGTTATTATGATAATACATATGAAACATTTGGAGGTAATTCGAGTGCGTTGTCTCTAAAAAATAGAAATAAAGCAAATTATGAATGTTTTAAAGAATTCTTTTCCAGGAACTTCTCTCTATGAAAAGATGATACTGGTTGTATTCATGTATCAATTCTATCTAATGAGTAAACTACAGGATGAAATAGAAAAGAAAGGTATTAATTCGAAATTTAACAGAACAATACATCATGTCTAATACAAGCCTTGCAACTCACTCATGAATACAAATAAGACGCATAAAAGTTACTAATTGAGATTGTATCGATTATCGAGTAGTAAATATAAGATAAACTTTACGATTAAATGCGCATTTATTTCACATCAATCATGTATATAATTTTTAAAAATGAAACGCATTAGTGCGATCAATTATGATAAGGCAGTTAAAAGCAAACTAATTTTTGAAAAGACTATCATATAATTCACTATCTATGAGTAGGAAGCAGTAGATCGTGTTCGATAAATTCAGTAAATTTTCACTGTAGTTTTGAAATAAAAAAATGTGATTCAATATTTTGGTAGGTAGTGAAAAAACCGAGATTTACGTGTTGCGATAATTACCCATCTCTCATCGATCAAAATTAATCGGAGTGAAGACTCCGTTTAGAAAAAAAATATATATGATACTAACCCATCTGAATGTATCACTTTTTCAATGTTAAAACCAAAACAAGTATAATAATAGCAAGGACAACAAGTAAAACTGTAACTAATATGACCTTTTTTCGTCGAGCAGCACTCTTTAAATATAAAAAATAAAAATAAATATGCAAAATAAAAATGAATTTTTTTGTTAGAAATTAAAAAAGAAAAGCAACCTGATAAGTCATAGCTTTTGATAAATGTTGGTTACCATGTGTTACATTCACTTCCGTATTGATTATATGTTGATCAATAGAGTCTAGAAAGATGCAGCGAAATTTTAGTTAGTATATACATTCACCATTATTTAAAAAAATTCAATCCTAATTAGTAAAATTCTCCTGTATCTTATCAACAATTTTTAGCAATTAACAGCAGCAATATAGAATAATAAAAAACCTGATATGTTGCAGCCTGTCCAACTTGTTGACTAGCCTGATGTGTTTGTACAACAGCTAATTCAACATGATCTTGAATTGAGTCTTAATAAATATGTTCTAATTGCGTTATACCTATCGTTCTTTTGTTTCATTTCTCTAGACTTACCAATAACACCACCTTGTTCATGAACAAGTTTAGCAACATCCTTGAATAATTCATTAACTTCAACAATATTTGTCTAAATAATAAAGAAAACGAGATCTTAGTATTTTATAAATTCAAAAATAGTAGTTTTTTATATACTTCAAGTTCACGCAATTGTTCATCACGTTCTCTTAATGATCTCATATCAACTTCTTGTTCAATTGGTAAAACCGCTTGCTGTTGAATTTGATCATATGTTGGTGTTGGAACAAAATTATCGGCAAACGGTGAATCAGACATGCCTTGTTGTCGAAATGATATAGCACGTGCACGATCAAGACTTTCTTTTTCTTTTCGTGCACCAGTACGTTGTGCTTCTTGAAAACGATTTAATGTTGCTAAATATTGTTTTGGTAAATTTTCAGTTAAAGTTTTCTTGCGTCTCTAAAAAAAACATTTATTTTAAAACCTTATTTATTTGAATGAATTTGTATTAAACCTGATCAGCTTCTGTTAATACACGAGTATTATTAAGTTCTTGAAGTGCATCATTTGTTTGTTGCATTAATATTTTAGTTTCATTTTGAAGTCGATGACTGAAACGAAAAAAGAAAATCATTCAATAATCAATTTTCATTGGTTTTTATTCTATATACTAGCGTTCACGTAATGGTTCACTATCTTCTGGAGTACCTAATTTTTGGACGAGTTTTTCAAGATCCGTTGCTATAAAAAAAAGATAGTTAAAAACAAAATTAATCAATCATTATAACTAACCATTGTTACTAATCTTCGTTAGATTAGTTGAAATAACATTATGTAAACGTTGAAAATCACTAGCGCTTGTCACTAAATTACATAAAAGATATAGATTTAAATAGGAAAAATATTATTTTTCGTTTTATTACTTCTTGTAGACCAAGTATCAATACAATCGTCGATCTAGAATAATAATAATAATAATAATAATGAATTACATTTAACAATAAATATTATTCGTAGGTCATTAAATAATAATTATCTAAGGTTTGTAAAATATTATTCAAACGAAAGGAGAAAATAAAAAGAAAAGCAAGCAAACAAAGCAAGCAAAAATTTGAGACTAAAAAATTCATTTATGCATCGAGTCACGCTATGCCTTTTATATTTGTCATATTCTCACTTTCAATAATTCGTCATCAGTTGAATTGTACATTAAAGTTTTCTTCTAGAAATGAGTAAGCGAATCATTTTGCCTTTATAAACAATAGAAAAAGGAAATACAAGAACAAAAAACCTCTAGTGAATCATAGGTTTCTACTGAGTTATATGTTAGTCATGGTCTACTTACATAATCTTGTGCGATGAGTTAAGTTTAAAAAATAAATGGTTGTTTTCTATTTATATTCACTATAGTAGTTGTATGACAAAACTGATCAGTAGTGTCTTTTTTGTCCAATAACTCACTTAGATACGTATTTACGAGGGGAGCCACAAGTTTCTTGAAGTGTTTAATTTAGGAAAATATTTTTTATAACTCTTACTCGATTACAAATTATTTCTTTTATAGAAAAAAAGGTTTCACTATAATAGTTGTATTCATATTAGCGACATCTATATTAATAATATATAGTTCTATACGATTATGGAGTAGATTCATTGGCATGCATCCGATATATTCTCAGTATGAAGATAATGTTTGTTGTATTTAAAGAATTCGGAGTTTATTATTGTTTAATAATAATATAATTTCTTTTCGTTCATTAAAAATAAACCAATCAAAACTAAAATTATTACTCCAATGAGACAAACCTTAATAAAAAAATATATTATATCTGATACGTAAAAACAAGTGTTAAGAAATGGATCTAATGATCAAGAAATTATTTCTTCTTTTTGGTTAACTAGCCGCTAACATAGAAAAGTGCTGTTTTACGTGATACTATAAATTGAATTTATTTTAGATTATCTTTCTCTTGTATATTTGTGTGGAATATAACGACGATTGCAAATAAAAGATGCAAAATATTCGTCACCTTATTACTGCACAACGTTATACTTCAGCAAGAAAAATAAATACTTTATTACGACGATGTTATACAATATCGAGTTCAACAAATCTTAACATAACAAATAGAAATCTCAACAAGTAAATTTTTTCCAAAAAAATATTTTTTTTTGTTACTTCGTCATTTTAGTTCATCTCTAGTCGAGTCAAATTTTTCATCATGTATAAATGGTCGATTATTATCACTAACAAGAAATGGTATAACCATAAGTCAACAACATCAATCGATTCGTTATGCGTCATCCGGTGATTTACCATCTCATAAAACAATTCCATTACCAGCATTATCACCGACTATGGAAACTGGTACATTACGATCATGGGCAAAAAAAGAAGGAGATAAAATTGCTGAAGGTTAAAAACTAATATTCAATATAATTTTTAATAAATAATCTATGTGTATTTATTTTAGGTGACATATTAGCAGAAATTGAAACTGATAAAGCAACATTAGGATTTGAATCAGGCGATGAAGGATATCTTGCAAAAATTCTTATACCTGGTGGTAGTAAAGATGTACCTGTTGGAAAAGTAAGAAGAAAAAACGTTTAGTGAAATTATGTTGAAGAATTTTATTTTTTAGCCATGTGCGATTATTGTTGAAAAAGAAGAAGATATTGCTGCATTTAAAGATTATAAAGATGATGGCAGTACAGCATCAACAAAACCGAAATCTTCTGATGAAAAACAAGAAAAAAAAGAGAAAGAACCAGCCAAAAAAGAAGATTCAACTAATAAAAAAGAAGAGTCAACTAGTAAAAAAGAACAACAAACAACATCAAAACCAAAAAAAGAGACAACAAAAACTAGTAGTTCAACACAAGGTGATCGAGTTGCTGCATCACCTCTTGCTCGAAAACTTGCTGAAGAAAAAGGCATAGAAATAGAAGTATATATACATATTCGATTTTATATTGACATATAATCATATAATATTTTCTATATTATCTAGTCAGTTCAAGGTACAGGTCCAAATGGTCGAATTACTGCTGAAGATGTTGAAAAATTTGTTAAAGAAGGTGGTGCTAAAGTAGATGGTAAAAAAGCCAAAGGTGAACAAGGTGCTCCAGCTAAAGGCGCTAAAAAAGAAACAGCAGCACGTACAGGTGGTTATGATGAACAACAAGTATCAGAAATTCGAGCCGTAAGATAATCTATTGAAACAAAAACAAATAATTCAATATTTTAAAACTATTTTTTATAGGATAATGCACGTCGTGCAACTGAATCAAAGACTACAATACCACATTATTATTTAACTATTGAAGTTAATTTAGATGAAATACTCAAGTATGTAATTTCATATTTCTCTATGTAATTAATTTATTAATATAGATTACGTGGAAATTTGAACGATATGTTAGCACCAAAGACCAAAGATCCTAAACAAAAATCAAGTGGTATTACTATTAACGATTTTATTATAAAAGCAGCTGCACTTGCATGTAAAAAACGACCAGAAACAAATAGTATTTGGATGGAAAAATCTATTCGACAGTAAAATTTTATCTAGTTTTTTTTTTCTATACTTAAAATACTATTCTATTTTAGATACGAAACAGTTGATATTAATATAGCAATAAATACAGATGCTGGTGTACTCATGACACCACTTTTATATAATGTTGATCAAAAGGTAATACTGTGTATATATTTATATAAATCTAATTTTTGTTTTTGTTAAATTTAATTTAGGGTGTTTCAGCCATAAATAAAGAATTATCTGAATTAAGTGAAAAAGCAAATAGTGGAAAATTGAATGACAATGAACTTGAAGTAAACAGAATCTAATGAATTATTTTTTTATATCATATTTATTTTAGATGGGTACATTTACAATATCTAATTTAGGAATGTATGGTGTAACTAATTTCAGCGCTGTTATTTATCCACAACAAGTAAGTGTAGTTTTTGAAGATCTATAAACTAAAAATTTAATCTTATGTTTTTCTTTAGTCAGCTATTTTAGCTATTGGTGGTATGGAACAAAAGATTGTACCTGCACCAGATTCTCCTAAAGGGTAATTTTAATGAAGAAAAAAAAACAAAATTTCTTATAATCTTCTTCTTGATAGTTTTCGTCAATCATCTATTCTTAATGTAACATTAGCATGCGATCATCGTGTTATTGATGGTGCCGTTGGTGCTCAATGGTTACAAGAATTTAAACAATTTCTTGAAAATCCAGGATCGATGATTTTATAAACACTTTTAGGGTTATATTTTGTCTTATTTGCCTATCTATGTACCTTTTTATTAATCAAGATTTCTAGCCTAGTTTTGTGATATATTCAGCGTATCATTATAATTTATGTTTATTTTAGTTAAGTAAAACCATAATAACAGTTCGCCATATAGTCTCTCTTCTTATAAAAAATTTCAAAAGGAGTACAAATGTATTTAAATAGTTTCTCTTCTATAGCCAAATTCTATTTTCAGATTTTGTCTAGTTTTCTATTTTTTTCGAAATGGCTGCGAGTAATCTCTCGCGTAATATTTATTCAAAAATACGTCCGCTATTAACTACTAATGTTAATACACGATGTATTTTAACACGTGATTATCATGAAAAAGTTATTGATCATTATGAAAATCCACGTAATGTTGGTTCATTTGATAAATCCGATGCTGATATTGGTACTGGTCTTGTCGGTGCACCAGCTTGTGGTGATGTCATGAAGCTACAAGTAAGATTAATCCGTAATTTCTTTCTTTCAGATTTTATTTATTTTAATAGATTAAAGTAGATGATAATGGAAAAATAGTCGATGCAAAATTTAAAACTTTTGGTTGTGGTTCAGCTATTGCTTCATCTTCATTAGCTACTGAATGGATTAAAGGCAGATCAATTAAAGATGCAAATACAATTAAAAATCAAGATATTGCAAAAGAATTATGTTTACCACCGGTAAAACTTCATTGTTCAAGTAAGAAAATAAAATAAAATAAAAGATTTATTTCTATGTTTATTTTTATTTAGTGCTTGCTGAAGATGCTATAAAAGCAGCGATCAATGATTATAATACAAAGAAAGAAAAACGAGAGAAAAAAAATTAATAATTAACAAAATGATTTCTTTTGAGAATGTACAGTGATCTGTTCATTTGATTTTTTGTATCTAGTTATTATTTATCCAAGCAATGAATATCTGTTAATATTAAACAGATATTTTCGTATTATTTTTTTTTCTCTTCATTAATAAATAAACGATTTTAGAATATTCTAAAATCTGATTTACTCTAAATAGTTATCAATGCAAATAAGTGAAAGAATGAATTGTATATCTGTAACTTCATGATCATAAACAATAATTACTGTATTTCAGATATGCGTGTATTAGAAAAACATCTTCGTGATGAAGTAACAAATCGTTGTATAGAATTTCTTGACGTTGCTATTAATTTTATTCTCTATATTGAACAAATTTATTCTAAAGATACGTTTGAAAAACGAATAAAATATAATCAAATTGTTTATGAATGTCAAGATGTTGATGTACAAAATTATATATCTGATTTTCTTAATCAAATAAAACCTTTATTTCGTAAACAATTAATTGATCAAATAGGGTTTGTTATTACTAGAGATAATGAAAATGATATTTTACGTCGATATTTAATTGAATTACATCCTATTATTGATCATTCATCAAATACAATTCATACAAATGGAAATTATTTACTTGCAGAACTTGATTCAATATTTTCAACATGTTTAATTGAATTAATGCGTCAAATACCTATTAGTCCACCGACATCATCAACCGATGATGATAATGATCAAATTCGTTGGAAATTACAAATGCGTTTATGTCATCATGGAAATAATAAATTTGAAGTTGAAGATATATTCTATGAACAATTTAAATTAACTACGATTTCTCAATTATCTTTGAAACAAATTAAATCAGTTCATGCACAAAGACTTAACATTCAATTAATGTGTCAAGAGAATAAAATAGAACAATGATAAATAAATTCCTTTTTTTGTATTTTAATAAAAGATAATGACAATGTTAGATCATTTTTTTATGGAGATGTATCGCTCGCGTTCATACTCATGTGGGCAGAAGCAGTCATGGTAGCAAGAAAGAGTTCTCTATTTTTAACTTGAATGATGATCTCGTTAGCTTTTTATTCTTCTGGTAAAGCAAAACTCTCTTAGATATCCTGAATGGTTGAATTACTAGACCAATAGAAATAATCTGATGTAATGTAAAAGATTGAAAAATATCGTTCTCATTATTTTTTATACACTCACGATAGATTATACTTGTTAATTAAATTTAATATTTTAATTTGTATACGACATCTATGAGTCATTAATCATATATATACTGTCTTCCTAGGCATAATAACTCCAAAGTCTACCAACTGTCGGTACATTCAACTTTGACATAGTACATATATATATGTATTATTTTTGTGAGGTTTTTTACCAGTTAATTCGTGAAACTAATGAGAACATATGATGAATCAATAGTATTTTTGTACGATTGAACTTATATATTTAGATCGAGTTCATTTAGTTCAGATATAATGGCTTCAGCAGTTGTTTCATCAGGTTTTACACCATCTTCTATTGACAATTCAAAACCAAAATTTAGCAATTATCAATCTAGAGTATGTTCAATGTCTATTCTTTGAATTATTATCAAAATTTTTCATTTATCTAGGTAATGCTTGGTGATCTTCCGTCAGATTTTCTTCGTGTTCAACTTGTTGAATCTCAAATCTACGATTCATCAAATGCTCAACTAGAACACAATCAAAATCCAAATTTTCTTGGATTCTTTACTTTAACCTTTGCTGAAGTATTTATCTACCAATAAGATGAATTAAAATTAATCTTCTTCTTTTTGTATTTATTAGGCTAAATTAATAAAAAATTCTGGTCCATTAGGTTTACTTCGTATGGATCCATATGTTCGTTTTCAGCTAGGTCATGTTTCTTACGAAACACCAACAGCTACTGGTGGTGGTAAAAATCCTCAATGGAAAGTATCATATCGAATGTAAGAATAAAGTTTTTTTTTGAAATATTTAACTCTATTTTCATTTGATTTAGTAATTTATTCAAAGGAATGGATAAAGTTCATTTGGAATTATTCGATCAAGTAATTAACCTTTTTCTTTTTGTCAATCGAAAAATATATTTATTTATTTAAAAAAATATTTGTAGCGTAGTTTTACAGAAGATAATTTTATTGGAGAATGTGATATTGAAATTCCACGAGAAGTTTTAGATGGTCAAACACATCAACATTGGTATCCATTAATGGGACGAGAAGCAAATATAAATGAAAATCAAGGCGATATTCTTATTGTTATGAGTTTTACAGTAAATATTCAATTAATGAAATGAATTACGAAATAATTTATTTTTTCTAGTCTACAACAACAGAATATTCATCAACATTAGAGAATCCAAGTTTTTCAAATAGTCCAACAATGTCTTCATTATCATCTCAATCGAATAGTATTACTGAATCAACATTACTTTATACAGTTGATGATATAAAAACAATTGAAGAAATGTTTCCTACAATAGATCGTCAGATTATTATTGATTTATTAGAAAAATATGGTGGTAATAAAGATATTGTAGTTAATCATCTTTTACAAAATTCTGTTTAATAATTTTAATTTAAAAAAAAATATTTAAATCTAAGTCATGTTTATATATGTTGTATGTAAGTAGTTATCAATAGAATGTTTCAATTGTAGATAGAGATATGTCTGATATACATAATCGCGTATCACCAAAACCTAGTCATAAATTAAATGAATATGAAAGTGCTGACCTTGGCGAATCAAAATTTTGGCGTAAAGTCAAACAAGATCCCGTTGTGCCCATTGGTTTGTTAAGAATTTTTTGTTTTTTTCTAAAGATTTATATTATATTTATTTCTTTAGGTATGACCGGATTTGGTTTGATCGTTCTTGGAGCTATTATTGGTTTTAATAGACGAGATCGAAGCAAACCTACATCTACCTATTGGTAAGTGTAAAATAATTTCAAAATATAAGTATGTTTGTATTATTTCAATAGGATTCGTACTCGTGTTTATGCACAAGGTTTTGTTGTATCTCTATTAACTGCCGCCGCTGTGTATCAAGCTGTTAAAGGCCGACCAGAACCACGTGACATTCATGGACACAAAAAAGTTCCTGAAGGAACATCACCGTCCACTAATCATCATTAGCTAATAACATATTTATTTCTACATTGTACTAATGTAACAGTATTAACTAATCTAATATTTCTATTTAGTTCCTTCTTCATTATCTCCATAAATGATTAGGTTTTATGTATACTGTTGCTATTCGATATTTATAAACGAAATAAAAAGTAGATCTTTAATTATATAATTGTGTTGATTTATACTTCTTTAATATCGTGACTAACGTGGGAATTTCACCGTCTGATAAAAATAATTTTCCGGTCATATTTTATGTACTATTAGAACTTGAGGGAAATCACATAAAGATAAGAAAATTCTATTTAGTATTTTTTTCAATATTTGCCTAGTTTTTATTAAATATCTATTTTATTACATTAGTTTAAAGTTTATACCAAATATAACCAACAATAGTTGTTACAAAAGTTCCATATAATATTTGTTAATTGTTTAAAACATAATGAATATTTGATGATAATTAACTTTAAAAACGAATTTCCTATTAGCCATGTAAAATTTTCCTATTGTTTCATAAATCGAATATAATAAATTCATTTAATTCAATCCATTTGTTTCGACTTGATTTATTTCGTATCATTTCCATTTTCATTTGTATCTATATAAAAATCATCCCATGGTTGTGCGTTATTACCAAGTAATATAATTGTTAAATTTGATTTTGTTTTATAATAATGCATCTTTGTTCGGACGAATATATGTGCGTGTCTGTCATCTATCACATATGATATGTATTATGATATTTTCAGGGGTTTATGTAGGTGAGAAAACGAACCGTTTGCCTATCTTGACTATGGTGACATAGTAGAAAGTAAATAGTACACATAGGAATGAAAAGGGTCATTATTGAATAATTTGTACTCAGGATTAATGGACTTTGGTATAAGTGGGTATAGACTATAGTTAACGAGTATAAGCGGAATAGAAAAAGAGAAATAATTATGCAATAATCAAGTTATACTCTAAGATAGTAATCAATTGTATGTACTGTTTAACATAATTATCACGCTTTCAAAGTATAACTTTTGTTTCTGGAAGAAAGTTTTATCAGTATTTTATCATGAGGATTCGGCTGTTGTCTTCGTGATTGAAATATATTACGGTAAAAATGACGGCCTTCGCTCTTTTGGTGCTATAGGTTCGAATAGTATAAATTTATAACTATAAAATATGATTTTTATACCATATTTCTATTAGATATAACTCACCACTTTTTTGTTTTTCACGTGGACAATAACAAATCTATTACTTGGAAGAAAAACAAAAATTTTAATGTTCTTATCAAGCATCTGTTATATAGAGGCATGCATTATACTCACTATCATACACCTTTTTATTCATTCCCTGGATATAGACTTAAAGAAAAAATATGTCTTATATTATGAGAAGTAGAACGTTTTATGTTGACAACAATGATGAAGAGATTTTCATTTCAATCTTGCCATAGATCTTCAATTATTAATACTGTCGATTATGTGATATAATAATTCAATTTATTCTAAAAGAACCTTTCTTACCTCCATTGTAAATTTAGACCTTTCATCAATTATCAGAGCTATTCTTAGTTCATGATTTCTATACTATTGTGTGTTTGAGGGTATGGGTGTCATCATTATGTCTTACTCATATTCTCTTTCAAATTCACACTCACCCACACCCATCTTTCTGTCCGTTTTATTGTGAAAAATGCCATGTGCTTTTATATTTTATTCCATGAATATTTTTATACGGTTTTTTTTATTATATGAAAAAAAACCTTAAAGAAAAACTGTAATATAATTAAATATAATTTATTGTTCTGTGTCTTCAATATAAGTTCTCTAGTTTGTATCTTCTTTTTTGTCACTAGATGTGAACGTCTCCATCTCCACTGGAGTATGTTGGTTTGAACCGTTTCTATTTTCTTTTCTTTTTTCTATAATCGTTGAGCTAGCAAACAAGACATGAGCTAGTACCTGCATTCCAAAAAGAATTCCAAACCATTTATATGCAGCAGTTAAATCATACGTTCCATCAGAAAGCTTCAAGACCACAATTGTTACATAGTTTGGGCTGTAGAAACATTTGTGATTTGAACCAATCTAAGCAAAAAACATTATAGAATGATTTCGATTTGTCATAAAAACATGAGAGTCTATACTTTATAGTAATCTGGTTGTCGAGAGCTATTGATGTCCGTTGTACTTTTTACAAGCGTTCCATTCCAAATGATATATGATAAAAAGAGTTTGTCATACGGGACTTGTTGAGACACACAAGCAGCGTCACGACCGCTAATGCTATTACACGCGGTTTTTTCGTAACTAGCCGGTTTAGGCCCTGTTACTAGACAACTTGTATTTTCATAGAGTTTATGTCTATGGTATCTATCACGTTCATCTCTGTAGTTCTCGATTTCATCAAAGCCTAGTTTGATTGGGAAAATTGACGTTACAAGGAGAAACGCCCCACATCCAATTAAAACACCTGACATCTTTATTACGTGACTCGACGGCAGCTATCTAAAATAAAAGAATTTACTAAGAGCTCACAATCTCGATGTCTATATATGTAAATCATTATCTAGATGAATATCTATGCATACAAAACACAACACTACATATAGGATAATGGTAAGTCAAAAAAAATCCCTCAGACGTAGTGATCACACTTACTTGTGTCTTGTACGATATAATTGTGAAGTATGCGCACTTGCTTCATATATTTATATAAGTTTCGATTATATATATATTACTCATAAGCTACTGATTTATCCCAACATGTTTATCCTTGACAATAGGTAACGCGTGAATTGAAGCGGAAATTCATGAGAACTAATGACGCATAATCTATTCTTATTTATGTTAATTACCTGGTTTTTTCCTAATATACCTTTGTTTCGAGGAATTTATCAATGACTAATTTTCGATTACACATATTCAAATAATAAGAAATTACATTCATTTACAGCCCGAATATTATCAATAAAATTGCGGATATTTTAGTTTAGTATTATTCTGAATACGAAAGGAATGATGCACAACTGTTAGAACAAATTTAGCCATTTGAATTAAATAATTAAGTTTTATTACATTGCTTCTCGAACAGTATCTAGAGGAAACACGCAGTAATAAAACGTAAAAAGAATGTAGAAACGAAATCATTTACTAAAACAATGCTACAAAGGTTAGTAACCATTACGTTGATTCAAATTTTATAAGATAAATGAAAATAATTTAATAATATTTAATTTTTAACCTGAGGTAAATAGAATTGATAAATGTATATGTTTACAATTTAATTTTAATTTTAGAGGTTTCGATCACTTGCAGGATCATTAACTAGAAATCTCCATCTCCACCACCACGACCTATAATTTTAATAATGACGTCTCATTTCTCAACTAATATAAGTAATGTGATTCAAATACATTTATCGATTCTATTTACTTCACATTAAAAATTAAATATTATTAACCGTTACTTTACTCGTACAATAATAATAATGAAATTTGTCTGAAGCGTCGCAACTATAGCAGCCAAGTAATTGACAAGGTTAGTAGTGGTCGAACTTGAGAAAGATGTGTGTAAGTTCTCAAAACCTTTTGGAGAAAATAAGATTATGATGAAAATCGAATGGAAGAAAGATGACACTGTGGTATTGGCTACTAAATCTTTAACGATAGCATCCTGGACCTTGCAGGTCCCCGGTGGCAATCAATTAGTATCTAAATACTGCTTCTATGAAACACAATCACAGAACGCTACCACAACGCGTTTCAATCTGCCACGCAGATCTCATCAGGTGGCTATACTTTCTGCACAAATAAATTCGAATACAAATGATTTTATTGAAGAAAATGTCTGAATATCCTCTAACAGTTGCCTATTACTCTTTTTGTATAAAGAATAATACTAAACTACAATATCGGCAACTTAGTTGATCATATTTGGGCTGTAAATGAATGCAATTTCTTATTATTTGAATATGTGTAATCGAAAATTAGTCATTGATAAATTCCTCGAAACAAAGGTAAATAAGGAAAAAAACAAGTATTTAAAATAAATAAGAATAGATTATGCGTCATTAGTTGTCATAAATTTCCAATTCATTTCACGCGTTACCTATTGTCAAGGATAAATATATGTTGGAATAAACCAGTACCTTATGAGGCATATATATATATATAATCGAAATTTTATATAAATACATAAAGTAAGTGCGCATACTTCACAATTATATCGTACAAGACACAAGTAAGTGTGATTACTACGTCTGAGGGATTTTTTTTGACTTACCATTATCCTATATGTAGTGTTGTGTTTTGTATGCATAGATATTCATTTACATAGTCATTCACATATATATACATCGAGATTGTAAGCTCTTAGTAAATTTTTTTTATTTTAGATAGCTACCGTCAAGTCACACAATGAAATCAACAAGCGTTTTATTTGTATGTTTAGTGATTGTTCTTTTTTCGTTACTGCTTCCAATTAAATTTGGCTTTCATGAAATCAACAACTACGGAAAGGAACGTGATAGATACTATAGACATCAGCTCTATGAAAATACAAGTTGTCTAATAACAGGGCATGGATCCTTTACCCATGAGGAATCTATATGCATGGGCACCAATACTGCCGCTAGTTGTGGATCTTCTAAGACCGATTATGACAAACTCTTTTTGTCATACATTATTTGGAATGGAACACTTGTTAATGGTACAACGATTACCGATATCTCTCTACGACCAAAGTACTCTAAAGTATACACTCGTATATTTTTATGACAAATCGAAATCATTCTATAATTTTTTTCTTTAGATTGGTTCAAATCATCAATGTTTCTATGACCCAGCACGTGTAACAGATGTGGTCTTGAAACTTTCTGATGGCATATATGATTTAACTGGTGTATACGTTTGTATTGCAATCGGTTTTGGACTACTGGTATTAGCTCTTGTCTTGCTGATGTTCTGGTTCCACGAGAGACGTCGCGTCGGCGACATATAAATAGTAAATCATACTTAATTTCTCGAAAGCAGTTTTCGAGGATATTTGTCAATCTTTTTTTTACAATTTTTGTTTTTTATTTTTTCTTCTATATAATAAACAAGATCATGTAAAGGTGTCCCTGTAATAAAATTTAAAAACACGCCGCATAGTTTTCATGAATTTCAAGTCACAAATACGAAGAACGATGAATATGGCATTTTTTTCACAATAAAACAGGCAGAAACATACATATTTTTCAATTTTGTCGACGAATCAGACGGCTGTGATTTCATTTTTTCACAATAATTCTCTTTTAGTTGATTGATGATAAAAATAAAATGTATTAATTGAAAACAGACCGATTTATATCTTCAAATAACATGAACCAATTTCCTACTCTCAGCTTTTTTGTTTTGATAAATCTAACCTAAAAAATATAGGAAATATCCTTAAATGAATAATAATATTTACCATCAAGCAAATATGTGAAAAAGTAAATGTGGATTATGAAAGAGAATATGAATAATACATAATCACGAGTTATATGAGTCATTCGAATTTTCTCGAAGCCAATGTAAACAAAAGAAAAAACCAACTAATTAAAATGAGTAAGAACAGAATATGTTTTGTTAGTTTTTATGTATTTTAAAGAATAATTCGAATTTTGAATGAAATCAAAACACATGTGCTACATCTAACAGAATTTTAGCGGAATAAAATGAATCATTATCGAAGACACAATAGTACATTCATCTTAAGCTCTTAGATACGAGCGCAACAGCTGAAAAAGATTCACTTGAATTATACATATTTATCATCAACAATGACATGAAAATCTCTGATGCAATAATCGGATTGAAAAAGCTTAAAATCAAACAAAAAGAGATTACACATATAATAGTGGCTTTCTTTCTTTGTTTCATAATTCTCATTGAATAATATTCATTTAATAAAATAATAATAAAAAAATCGTCATAACTGTTCTTTGAGTATCAATGACGTTTTAGAGTAACATAACAAACAATTTGTCATTTCTGTTATCTCTCTCTTATTTATTCATAACAAATATTGAATTCATCTACATTAACATATATATCATGTGGATGACCAATGAGTTATTTAGAAATAATTCCATTATTTTAAAATATAAAATTTTATTTGATTGACAAATTTCTAACTGAAGTTATTTTGAAGATATTTTAAGAAAAATATTGTACGACACAATAGATCTTTATTTGCATTGTCATCATAAACTTTGTTATATTTAATTCCTTATCTTTGTTTTTTTTACTTTAACATGCTGATGTGATATAAAAATTCATATTAAATATTGTTTACTATATTTGAGTATAGAATTGATGACAGCACCTAAAGTAATTTGAATACGAATAATATTGTTATATAAAATCTTGTCAAAATTTTTTTCCATGTATATAGACATTTACTAATAAATTAGTTCTTACAGCATTTGCTACTGGTTCAGGTTTGGTATCATTTGGTTGGAATACTGGTTGTCTCAATAATGCACAAGAATCAATTAAACCATGGATTGCTGAGTCATATTATCATCGAACAGGACATACACTATCACAACACGTACTTACACTTCTATGGAGTAGTACTGTAGCAATCTTTGCTATTGGAGGAGCAATAGGAGCTTTTACAGCAAGTATAGTAAGTCGTCGATATGGTAGACGAGGTGGTCTTCTTAGAACAAATCTACTTGGAATTATAGCAGCGGTATTAATGTGTTAGTTGATATTTAATTTTTTATATTTAAATTACTAAATATTTATACATTTAGCTTCATCGAAATTTGTACATTCACCTGAATTATTAATTTTTGGTCGTTTTATTATTGGTATTGAATGTGGTTTATATACTGGTTTATGTACAATGTATTTAAGTGAAGTAAGTCCAAAACATGTTCGAGGTATGGTTGGATCATTGGGTGGTCTTTCGCCCTATACGGGTCTTATGTTAGCTGAAATAATGTCAACACCTGCTATACTTGGAACAAGTACATTATGGCCTTTAATTACAGTTATAGCAGCTGTTCCAAGTGTAACTCAATTTATACTTCTACAATTTTGTTATGAAAGTCCACGATATTTATTAATGAATCGTGGTGATGAACAAGGTGCTCGACATGCATTAAGTTCATTACGACAACGATATGATATTGACGATGAAATTAATGAAATGAAACAAGAAGCTGAACATTTGCGAGGTGAAACTCATGTAACATTAAGAGAATTATTTACTCAACCAATATATCGGTATAGAATATTATTGTTTTCATAATAAATTACATTATCTTGTTTAATATACATATAGATTACCACTTGCTGTAGCTGTTGTTGTTCATTTTTCCATGCGTTTTTGTGGTATAAATGCTATCATGTATTATTCAACTGCTTTATTTAAACATGCAAATCTTGGTGATGTTGGTCCATATGCTACAATAGGTGTTGGTGTTATACTTGTACTTATAACTTTAGTATCCGGTTCACTTATGGATATAGCTGGTCGACGAACATTACATCTATGGGGACTTTTTGGTACATGGTTATGTAGTCTTCTACTTACAATCACATTTATTCTTACAGTAAAGATTTATTAAGAAAAATTATATGACTTTAAATATTTTTTCTTTTTACTCTATTAGCAATATGCATCATGGTTAAAATTTCTTTCAATTGCATTTGTTTATTTATTCGTTGTATTCTTTGCTATTGGACCTGGTACTGTTCCATGGATTATTCTTCCTGAAATATTTGCACAAGGTGCTCGTCCAGCAGCTACAAGTGTTGCTGTAGTAACGAATTGGATGTCAAATTTTGCTGTTGGACTTCTATTTCCACTTTTAGCAGTAGGTGATATTTATATATTATTTTAAAATCTATTTCTATTTGAATTTAGGAAAACAGTCACCTATCTGATTATTCATTTGTTCCATTTGCTATACTTACTACGTTATCATTCTTATTTCTTTTTAAATATATGCCTGAAACCAAGAAACGTACATTTGAAGAAATTACAATGGCTTTTCGTCGAGCTCAATAATAAGAGAAAAATATTTTTTATATCATTGTTTTTGTTAACATATAATAATAAAGTCAAATGAAAAGAAAAGTGCAGTGAAAGGATAAGTTTAATAAAAACTTTATATGAGAAAGATAAATAACAATATAATAACTGGAATTTTCGACCTTGTCAAGTTGGTTAAAGCGGCCATCATCAGTAACAAACACCAAGAACATCATCAATGTATAACAATTTAATCAGATAACAATGTTAGTCATCATAAAATCATAATCATAATCCTAATACTACCAAACTACTACTAAGACTACCGATAACAATAACAATAACAATAATAACAATATGATATCTCTTTTCATTTGACTTTATTATGTTTACTGTCAAGTTATCTATTTTATTAATAATAAATCATGTATTCAATAAAAATTTGATAAACAGACGTGGGAAAACTCTAACTTTTATAGTTTTATTATGCATATTTACCTAATCAACCACTTTTTTCATTCTTTTTAGAGAACAAAACAGGTAAGCAGGAAAGAAATTTGCCATTATATTACTTTTTATGTCATATACAGTTACGTAAGTTATATTTTTTATATCAAAGAGAAGAAAGTATGATAAGATTTACCAGTAAAACTCTGATTGTTAATTTTCATATTAATTTTCTTCATTTATTTTATGTATTCCTAAATTAGCGGTGTTACTTTATCCTTATTTCATTAAGAATAAAGATACAGAAATAAAGTAAATGTTTATATCAATAAAATAAAGATAAAGATAGTCTTTATTTTCAAAAATAAAGTTAAAATAAAGGATAAAGATACATTTTTTCATGCAATAAGTCCGTATGTGAATACCTTGTATAATAATAAACTACGTTTATTTGATCCTCCTTTGTTTTCATCGTCATCATTTTCACATACCATATCATCAAAAAAAGGATCACACAAGAAACGATATATACGAAAAATGTTATTCCATATTATAGTTAACTATATACTATCATAATTTTTTGTGAGCTACTCTAAGAAAATAAAAAACGTACATCTCGATAGAAACAAAAATCTTTATTTTGGAAAATAAAGATAAAGTAACATCACTATTCCTTATCTTTAAAGATTTTATAGACAGAAAATAAAACCTGTCAACTTGATCATTATTAACATGTCATGTATGAGTGTCATGATAAATACAATTTCAAACAGGACTCGATCATGTCGCCATGCAGTTAGTATTCTGTTTGAAAATTGTAGCTATGGTTTCTTTTTAACTAATCCAAGACGTTACCGTTTCCGAAAATGTATCGTAGTACTTTGCACAATTTTTATTATTGCAATATTTTGTCTGACAAGATGGCTCGTTTTACCACTAAAGAAACAGATTAAAATAATTCGTTACTCGTCGCTGGATATACCGTATAAATATAAACTTAAACAAATTGAAAGTAAAATATATTATGTTTATCAGTATACTGAAATTTATATCTTTTTATTTATGAAAGTACCGCATTATTTACTTTTGGATGTTAATGATCGGCGGGAACTGAAATGCAAACAAATTTCTCGAAATGTTATACCGAATATAGGAGAAAAGAATGAAGAAGATGAAGATTTTATTCGATCGATTTTTGAAAATAAAATTAATTCATTATATGTCACATCTTCAGATACGGTTGAAATAATATCTGAAATGCGAGCAAAATTGTGCTCGAATACTTCACACGAGTGGATTTCGTTGAGTATTCTTGAAAAAGGTAATACTATTATTTAATTTTTATTATGTATAATTATAATCGATTGAATAGAAACTGTAGAAAAAAATACTGATTCTAATACACATCCAATTGAATCTCTATTTGATAATGCTGAAGAATCACACCGATGCGTTTTTTTTGATTTCAATAAATGCTCTATCAATACATTAGAGAATGACTTTCCAAGATTATTTCAGTTTCAGTATAAACAATACACGTATGTATATATTATTGTATATTATATATTTAATTTGACATATAATATATAGAAAAAAGACTAACACACATCGAAGAGGCATACCAATCGGAATTACATACGTGATTTACTATTATTTTCGTCTTAAAGCTGCTGATTATATGACAGAGAGAATGTCTCACGATAGAATTAGTTTCGAAGTAAGTTATGACAATATTTTAGTAGTTACTAATAATCAGCATTATCGTTGTAGATATACAATTTAACAATTATTCCAGATCTCATAACATATCAGCAGATACTTATTAGAACTGAAATAGATTCAAAGCAAATGTCATTGATAAATATGATTTGTGTAGCTACTTTACAAGAAAATCATAAGAATACAATACATGTAAGAATAATATATATACTTCAATAACTTTAAAGCGTTTATTATTGAAATAGTCTTTTCAAATGAAGTATCCAATGTTTCTATTCGATAATTTAACATGTTCAACTAGCTATAATATTTGTGTCAATTGTCAAGACATGAATAAAACATGTAAACAAGTTAAGAGTTTAGATACGGTAATATAATTTTTTAATATTAAAAAAATTATTTGTGAGTTTTTTCGATAGTAGATGTCATCAATAAATTCTCAAAATAATCATAGTAAGCATATATACATATATTTTGTTACAACTTCTGTTTGTCTTTTTTAAATTATTTATCAACAGATCAACATCCAGAAACATTTATATCTATTATTTTAACTATATTAGTACTCGTTGTACTTATTGTAATTCTGTAAGTTTTTCAAATATTCTATTTGATCGATTTATATTGAATTATTAGAGCTATTGGCATTTTTTTGAAATCATCAACTGTTACTTTTTATTGTGATAAATTAAAAAGATGTGTCAGATATCGTAGAGATCAGGTAAGATCTGTGTTTTTTACAATATTGAAATATTAAATTTTAACTTATAGAACGATATGGTAATAGATTTAATAGTTAACTATATTTAAAATAGAGAAAAAGATTTTTAAATAGGTATCTGTTATTAGAGAAGTGGAGGAACGTGACACTTCAGGATCTGATGGAGAGATGGATCCAATTAACCCTTTACCGCCATATAATTCTGGCTCACTAGACACAATGGTAAAAATTTTAAAAAAACGGTACACATATTTCTCACTATTTTAGAATTGTAGACCGGTGTGAGTGTTGTGGATCAATCACGATCTATATTATCAATAGATTCACGATGTCAAGATCCGTAAAACAACGAATATTTTTCAAGCGTGCATACTACTTTATTACTATCATATTATGATAATCTACAATCTTTTCATACTTGTGAAACATTTTTCAAGTAGATTCAACTAATAAAAATTTTAATGTATTGTATTAAATGATGTACAAAAGAAAAAATCTTATACTACATTTATCAACATCTTTTCAAAAAAGACTTAATTCATTTAGGGAGTAAGAGTGGATGTGAATGTAAGTATTATTCTCTCCCTACATCTATACTCTCACCCTCAGCTTTGTCATTTTCACCATGCATAATTAGAATGTTACTCAATTGCTATCATTCTTTCTTTATTTCTCCAATATGAAAGATGGAATTCATAGAAAAGAGAATCTGGTCCTTTTTAGAATAAAAGCTAACATCACCGATATTAGTGAAAGGTGTCAAAGATTTTGAAGAATCAATTTTTATGACAAATAGTACACCTGTTTTATCTAAATTAAGTTTTTGTTCTCAAATGAATCGTGACGCTATCTTTTCCGTTGTGTACTGGTACATAAAAAATTATTGAACGGAAATAAGCCGTCTCGTGTCGTTTTCAATTGATTAAATTCTGTTTTTGATAAACGCTTATCATGATATATGAAAAATAGAACAGTGGTTTTGGCTTTCAATGTGTTGTCTAATATAAATCCTAGCGATATCTTCATGAAGTTCTCACAGAAAAAATCTTATTTTAACACAATTAGATCGACTTCCATCGTACGTAAAGCTTTATTAAATGTAGAATGAAAAAAACATGGATATTTATACCATCAGATTGACTGAAAACAGTGATATTCCTGTTAAATCTTATCAACATATTGACGTTTTTTAAGATTAGCAACAAACAATATCTTCCGACAGTGCATGAGAAAATCTTCAATGCTCTCTTGTTGGAAATCAAATTGTAAGCAAAATATCTTTAAGCATTTGTATATATACATAAATGATAGATCAAATTGATTAAGATTTATATTTAAGATTTCATCAGTAGTTTTAAGAAAACTTATGGAGACAAAGTTTCGATCGTAACCTTCAAAAATATATTGAAGTGCTTTACACATAAGTCGAATGTTTGTAAGAATATCTTTTACTTTAGATCATTTCTTTGTTCATCGTATATATTGCTCTTTATATTGACAAAAATATAAAATTAATTTGTTTGAGTTATATCATCATGAGTCATAGAAATTGTTATCTGAACAGGTGATTTATATATGATATTATGAATATACCAGCATCATCAATGTCAGTAACAAAGTCGACACATATGAATCAATATCTGTATAGCATTTATCATTTATCATAGTTTTTTATGCCATTTATAAACGCATTATTGTTAATTCCATCGATATTCCTACCGAGCAATATTACACGAAAATTTTAAATTGAATGACCATAAGATATTTGACATTTTCTATAAGTATTTATTGAATTAACTATTTCATCATCATTGTCACCATTAGTGATGTGACCAAATGTTTCCTTCGGCTTATTCTTATTATTTATTGAAGAAGAAAATTTTTATTGAGGAGATAGACTTTTAATAAGTAAAACATGTTAGGGATTGTTAATACTTGATTTTATTAATCGTTTTTAATCAGTATAATACTCAGTATTTCATAACGATTGATATACTACGTTTTAAAGTAGATATTTTTAAGTACAAAATATTTTTTCATATATTTGTTATTGTCTAGTTGCAGTCACGCTTCGTTTATTACTTGGTTTTATCCAATTTCTTTTTTGTATTAAATACAAAACATCATATACATATATTGTTTTTTCTCTTCTTTATGAAAAGGATAATAAATATGCATACGATCATACCAATAAAAGGCTCATTTGTATTTTTTTTATAATCACGTTATTATCGTTGTCTAACGAAAACAAAGGAGGTAGATATTTTTTTTATGCATAAAAGCTATACGTATTATTTAAAAGTTATGAGTTGTATATAATACCAAATAAAATAATTTATTTATTTCGATATTTCTCTATGATTAAGCAAGTCTATTTCTATATAATATTCTTTTTCATTTTTCGAGTATATAACTAGAGAGTAAAAAATATTCTATTTGATCTTACCGATATTATTGATTATTAATTATAGATGATACTTAAAATTGACACGTTAAAATTAAGTTTTCATGTATTAATTCACATTGTTTATAAGAAAGTTATTAGATTAAAAAATATTTTTATATTTTTCAAGATTTGAAAATTGAAAGAGTTTAGAAAGATGTTTTTCTTCAGGTTTTAAACAAAATAGATAAGATTATGTTGGAAAAAACAAATCATTTTAATATTAATTGCGTTTTTCATAATCTGTATTATGATATTTGATATAATCAAATTTTATAAAGTTTCGAGAACAACACATAAATAGTTTCGAACATTTGTTTATAATTATAAAATATTTAATAAATCTTGAATTGATTTTAATCTTTGTAATGTAAATATCGAAGGGTCTTATTTTAGTTATAAGTAAGATTTAAGGAAATTTTAGAAATAACCAAAAGCAACGATTATTTTCTTAGATTTTTTTGCTACTTTTAGATATTTATATAATTTTATTTCAAATTAGTTTATACAGTATTTACTTCTAATGTATTTTTATATAAAGCAATTAGATTTAGAAGATTCATTCTAACTTAATTATAGATAAGTTAGTAGTCACTTATTTTGGATAAGATCAGATTTTTTGAGAGGATATTCAACTCTGTCTAAAGTTCTCAACTAATAATTCAAATGACTATCTTTTAATTAGTGAGGTAGACATAAAAATTCGTCTTACCTTCGATACAGACATTTTTCTTGAAATAGTATTAAGAAAACGTCATTTATATGATTTGTTTTTGTTTATATGAATAAATACTTTTTGAAATATCATTATCTATATTATTTAATCATTGGCTATATCTGAGGCAAAAGAATAATTAGTTAGTATCTAGTATAAAGCATTACAATAGTCTTCGTATCTTTTTTGATTAAAATTTATCTTTATTTCCTCTTGAGTTTTCTATTATTGCGATCAAATTAAAAAAAAGTTCCATTATCTTGTCGAAAATTATCTTGAAACAGAATAAAAACTACACTGTTTGATATGTTGTATCACTACGTGTCAATCTGTGTTAGAGTATGAAATATAGAAAACGGATTCATTTCTCTTTATCATTCGATATTCTAACACGTAATATATATTCTTTTTAAAAATTCTTCTAGGCTTTTTTAATAATGTTCTAGTTATCTTTAATCAATGTATCTTTTATTTCGTTATAGCAAAAGTCAACTGAAAGATTGAGAACATATATATTTTGATCATGTAAAATGAATCAAAAATGCTGTGAGCCCAGAAAGAGCCGATAGTACATGTTTTAGAGAGATCCATGAAAAATAAAACTGATCCTGTTCTACTTTTCTCTACAAGTTTTAAGAACCTTCAATTTCTTTCACTCTCTCTAGGCCTGTTCTTAGACAAACTTTAATATCTCGAAAGATCATTTTCTAGAAAGCCTGAAAAGCTTCTAACAACTGCTTTTAAAATAACTTTTGATAACTTCTTATTTAGAATTCTTAGATAGGTCTTAAGAAAGTAGATAATGTGCCGGAATTTTGTAATTAAAAAAAAACTTTTGAGAACCATCGTAAATCGAGAACACATATTTTATTGCCATATTTTACCTATGTGAAGTGAACCACAATATTTTGCTAGCATGTTTGATTTACTTCACATGATCAATCTAATCATACTAAACATATATTCATATATTTTATAACAACTTTTATTTGTCTTATTTAAATTTTTTATAAGTCGATAAATTCCAGCAAAACTTGCGATAACAACGACAATTACATTCGTAATCATTCGCTGATTATACTTATGTAACTTACTCAAATATTGAATTTGATTCGTTTATATTGAATTATTAGAGCTATTTTCATTTCTTCCAAACCATTTTTTGTTGCCTATTGTTATCGTAAATTAAGCAGATCTATTAAATATCTTGCCAATCAGGTAAGATCTGTAGTTTCTTATAATATTCAAATCTTAAAGTTTAATTTATAGGTCTATACAGTAATTGATTTCATAGCTAACTATACTAAAAATAGAGAAAAGGATGTTTAACTAGGCACCTACTGATAGAAAAGTCGATCAGTCTGTCACCATAAGATCTGCTGAAGATAGGAGTGAATCTACCAGTTCCGGACCCGATAGATATGCGGATAAATCTAACACTTTTGGGACTGCTGAAAGCGTAGCTGAATGCAGCACTTTCGAATCAGATGGTAGTGTGACATCAAGGGAGAAACAGCCAACTTTTGTACTTAGAGTGACTTCATGTATTTTATTTCACTTTAGCGTACTTTACAGCTACTTTACGCATACTTTGAGCTACTTTAGACGTGAATTGAGCTAATTTACGCCACCTTGAGGTACTTTGACTACTTCTGCTACTTCACGTCATTTTGACGCGTTTTTAGCCATTTCATAAGCTCCCGTATGCATATTATACCTCTCTGATTTTCCTCGTTTTTCATTTCTTGTAACAAATACCAATATACGAAGAGTAACCATTTTATCGAATGAATATTTTATTAACGCATGTGAAGAAAAATCGAAAAATAAGCATAAAAACAAAGGAAAACTAGCGAAGTTTTCCACTTCTAGCTACTTTAGCGTACTTGAGGTCACTTTAGCATACTTTTATGTACTGCAACATACTTTGGCGTATTTTAACGTACTTTAAAACACTTTTAGCGTACTTTAACATAATTTAAGCTATTTTTAGATAACTCGAACTACTTTTCCCACTTCCGATCCTTTTAAGCTCAAAGTTCGCTGTTTATCTCTTGTGTGCCATCATCAACAATGGTAAAAACTTTCAAAACAAAACACACATTTCTCGCTATTTTGTAATTATAGCCCCGTCGTCGTCATAGACATCGATCACCGTCTCCACTAGTAAGAGTCTTCAAAATA